ACACAAATATTTGATTATATCCTGAATAGCCATCTAAAAGACTCAACATTTCATTACCCGCTACTGCATCTATTAACATATCGGCTATTGGCATAAGATATTCATCTTTAGGAGTGGCTAAGTTCAAATCTCGATAATCGATACACACTCTCATTTTACCATTCTTTTTAATAACAGGTACAATATTAGAAATCCAATCAACATACCTCAGCGGTTCGATGAATTTTTCTTTCAAGAGTCTTTCAACCTCTTCTTTGATTTTACTCATCACCTCGAGTGCAAATCTTCTCGGTGCTTGTTTTACTTGGCTTTCTTCCTTCGATGATGGGTAATCTATGCTCGACAAGATTTCGATCCAATCCAGACATTTCTTCGTATTCCCAAGCGAAGCAGTCCTTATATTCTCTTAACAAGGAAATCATATCTTTCTTTAATTCTTCTTCGAGATACTTGCCGATATACGTAGGTTTCTGGTCTTCTACACTCCCCAAGTTAATTTCTTCTAGTGGATCCCGAGCCTCGACTTTCTTGTGACTTGATGTAATGGGTTTTTCAAAACCTAAAGGAGAATAATCATAAATACAATCAAGTATAACTTGATCGCTATTATTTGCAACTACGGTCGAGTGAATCGACTTATTTATCCCTATTTTACTACTACTACTACTTTCTTGGCTCTTCTTTCCATCTTCATATTTTCCCAACCGAGCCAAGAACTCCTCATATTCTCTATTCATCTTCACCGGCCACTTTGAGGTTGGCCCCCTCTTTGATCATAACAAATCCTTTCTTTTCATTCATCTCCAAGAATCGCTCCTCATGCAACTTCGAATTGAAATCTTCGATCGTTTCGAAGGTGAATGGCTGAGCCAGTGCCAGATTCTGGAGTGCCCGACCGGCCTGAGATACAAATGTTACAAATTCATGCTGATCTCCTGGGATTACCTCGAGATGTCCGTCTCGATTCCACATAAATAATTTCTGATGAGCCGTCGAAGGCACGACTCCTACTCCATGAATTCACTCTCTTCCAAGTAATGCGTTGAAATTTTCATGTGACTGGACCACAATGAACACAATAGGCCTCGAGTAAGTGCCTACTTTCACATCCAAGGCAATCATGCCTTCCGAACTTGATGTTTTTCCGCTGAAATCGGAAATCATAATATTATGTTTGACTAAGTCTTTCAGTTCAATGCCAAATTTCTTTAGCATATTAATTGGCAGTATGTTTACCGCTGCTCCACCATCGACAAAGACTCTATTTATCATCTGTCCTTGTATCTCGATATTCAATAATAAGGGTTTCAGGTGAAACCTCATTTCTTCAGATGGAGGATCAATAAAAGCAGCATCTCTATGAGGGACTTCACATGATGTTTGTGTAACCCATGTTACTTTTGGCTTTATATTTTCTGAGTAAAAGTCATCTTCTCGATTGGCATCACTCTGTTCTTATTACTCTTGATATTCACTAACATATTCTGCTGGTAGTATCGATATTACTCCGATTTGATGGTCGTCCCAAGTACCCTCATTCTTATCATCGAAATATTCTCTTGCATATTGACTATCCATCGGTATAATATTCTCTTCGAAATTTCTATAATTATTCCAATAAGGGATCCTCCCTCCTCTTCTCCAGGGCCTTCCTCGGAATCTCCTTTGGAATCTTGGGAATCCGAGTGTTCGATCCTTCATCGTATGACAATCTCTCGAAGACATCATGGCTTTGAAGTCTGCCTTTTCCTCCTCGAGAAGGATACATTTCTCTTCTGATCCATTGCCTTTGATTTTCACTAACACCAGAACCAACGGATTTCTGTTGACTTTCTTCGATTGTTGGTCGGACTGTTTGATCTACTTTGTCATTTTTCCTTTTATTTTGGCTCTTGATCTTCTTTATTTGTTCTAACTTGAAAGCTTTAGTAGCCGATTTATCGAACACCGCACTGCATCGTGGGCATAACGACACATCTTCGTCTTTTTCTTTCTTCCTATTCAAAAACTCAACTAGGGAATCCCCTGATCGAGGGTAGATCTCTTTTTCGAACTCCTTCTCGAATTCACTCAGATCGAATTCCATATCTTCTTCAGACACGTCCATTCTAACATGTTTAGGATCAATGTCTTCAGTAACATCGACCATGCCTATAAAGGCAGAATTCATCATTCGGACATCTTCAGTCATGCCCGTTTGAGATTCAATATACCCCACTTGTACTTCGAATGGACTTGTGTCCACTTTCATTGACATCTCTTCAAATTTTAGTCTTCCTTGGTCAATCGCATCCTGGATCGTATTCCCGAAATGTATGCAATTGTTAGTCCAATGTCCAAAAACATTATGAAATTTACAATATTTTCGACCATTCCTTTGTTCTCGCGAAGGCAGTTTATGATCTTCGCTCAACTTAATTTGTTTGTCTTTTAACAAAATATCGAAGATTTTATCGGTTTCGTCACATCGAAAGTATATGTTCGATTTGCCATTTTATCTTTTACTTCATTCTTTTGTAGCAGTTTACAGATATATGGAGCTCCTACTTTGAGTTCTGCTATATTTACTTTCTCATCGACAGTCTCTTCCACCTCATTCTCTGTCGTGGGCTCTGTTTCATACATATCATTTATATATGCTATTCTTTCTTTTTTCAAGGGTTTCTCAAATTTCTTATATCTTTGTTTTTCATACTCAATTTGTTCTACTCTTCTCACTTTATCGGCTAACTGAGCCATATCATTCAATGGTAAATTGACCAACTTTTTCCTAATCGAGAATTCTAAACCTGCAGAGGTCATTCTGACTAATTCATATTCAGGAATTTGAGTAAAGCATCTTGATTTCATTTGTCTAAATCGATTCAAATAATCATCTATACTTTCATGATTGTATCGTTTTATGTTCATCAAATCGATTAGATTTACTTGAGTCTCTCCTCTAAAGAATTGTTCATGAAAATTTCTCTCTAACTGCAACCAATTATATATCGAATTGGGCGGTAACGAAGTGAACCAAGTAAAAGCATTCTTAGTCAAAGAACTAGGAAAATATTTCATCTTTAATTCTTCACTTATCGCTAAATCTCCGCATTCGATCTGATATCGAGCCACATGCTCGATAGTCGATTCACCAACTTCTCCAGCAAATTTAGTGAATTTGGGTATTTTATATCCTCGAAGCAGTTCTGTCTCGAGAATCGCATTCGGAAAGGGAGACACAAAATATGTCTGATTGGGTGGTCTAAATTCCATCCCTTGTAAATTCATCCTTTGTCCTCACATGTTATTCTGATTGTGTATATTTTGAAATCCTTCGTTCAAATTCACATAAAGGTCATTCCTCACATGTTGATACTCATTTCCCCTATGCTGATGTTGATCATTGTTTCTATTCCTCCTCAATAGATACGGGGGATTATTAGTAGCATGATTTTCTACCCTCGTTTGTCGAGGTATAGCCAATGCATCCCCGATTCGTGACATTTGGTCCGCTAATATCTCAAAACTAGCAGTAGTGTTTTGAATTAATGGATTTAGAACTGTAGTCAACTGTTGTGATAACATATTCACCATCTCAAAATTACTCTCATCCATTTGTTGTCTAAGTATTCCTAAGGAATTACTAGATATGCCAGTACTAGTATTTTCGATGGTATCAAAATTAGATCGATGATAATCCCTATCGAACGCATATCTCCCATGATCTACGTTTCCTCTATGATCCAGATTTGGAGGTATTTGCTGCGTTCCTACATTCTGCACACTCCCTGAGTTCTGGGGAATTACTAAATTTTGAGATGTTCCTAGGTTAGGAGATACTCCAAAATTCTGTGGCATACCTAGGGTTTGGAATGTTCCTAAGTTATATCTCGAATTTCGTTGCATCGAAGAAGTACCCACCCCATTCATGTTAAGCGAAAACCCAGGTGGTCTTATACTCATATACGGCCCCGCATTTGTTGTCACAGGGTTTCCCATAGTTGGCATACTATCTAGTGCCACCGTACTAGATCCTACTTGGGTATTTGCTAAAGTGCCTGAATTTTGTTCACTACTCACAGGTATCAACATACTTACAGTTGTCGATACTACAGGTGTATTCCCATTATGACTTTGCCCCCCAGTATTTGATGAGTGTGACCCATTTAATCCCTCAGTGTTACTCTGGTTACTTGATGAACTCTGACTCATGACTCTCCCACTCCTTAATCTCATACGCTCTCGAACTAACCAATTTTGTGTTTCTCAACACAAGACTCCCTACCTGGCGCGCCAATTTGTTTCTGGTTGAATTTCGATCGATTTCGATCCTAAGGGTGTTTTGGTCCTAATCAAAATTCTACCACGTAAGTTCTTTTTACTTAGGCTAGCAATTCGATTTTCAATCGAAAACATGTATGAGAATCGAAAATCACAAGATATTGAAAAAGCTATTTTTGGTATTTTGTATTTAAAGTACTGAAAGCAGTAAAACTATCGAATGGAAAAAACAAAATGTCAAATTGCGAGGAAATGTAAAGTACGAGAACCCCAAGTTTGCAAGAATTGTAAATGACAAGGAATCGGAAATGACAAAAATGTAAATGGCAAGAAGTTAAGTTTGCATGAAAACTAAATGACAGGAAATCGAAATGTGCAGGGAATGTAAATGTCAATAAATCAAGATTTGCAGAATGTGAAACGACATGGAAGCTTAAATGCAGAAACTTAAACTTTCATTGAATTGAAATGACTATGAATCGAAAGTACAGAAACATGAAACACTGAACTCAAATTGCAATTAACGTAAATTACCAAGGAAAATACAGAAAACGGTAAATGAACTCGGTGAGCATGGAAATCCAGATTGCCAGAAGCTTCATGGTGTTCGTCATTCTCCGGTAGACTTTCTCACTACTGATTCTGTTTTCTGCCAATTTCTGCCCCCTCTCCTCCTTCCTTCTTTTCTCTATTTATAGGGCCTCCTTCAAGCCTTCCAAGAACAGTTAATAAGACTGCTACCACGTTCTTTCGTGCATGACGATTTCTTTTTCTACAGTTTCCCACGTTCTCACGATCCTCGACTCCTTCCATGTTTCGAAACTGCTCTCTATACGTGCGTTTGACTTATTCTTCTTTTCATGGTTTGGCAGAATCTCGATGTCCACATTGGCTTTCTTCACTCTCGATTTTGTATTTTCGAGAACTTCAATTTGCTTATGACTCCTTTTTTACCTTGGTCTCATATGACTTAGTTTTTTATTCGATAACAAGCCTTTAGTTATCATTTACTCGATTCTCGATTGTACTTCTCGATGTTACGTACTTCTAATCAGACATCAATTTTGTTTATCTTACCGAGTCACATTTCTTTCTTTCATTTTCGATCGCTTTTCTCGATTTCACAATAACAGAAGGATAAGTTTTTTACTTGGAAACATAACTGCAGTTGTTATCAACAGAGATTAAGATTTTGAAACTTATCGAAATTTGAAGCCTTTATTCTCTACCTTTATACAGTTTTTTTTTACACTGCTTCCGTTAAGTTATTAAGAAATTTATAATTATTAGTTATAATCAATAACCAATAATTGATATTATTAATAAACATAAAAAATAACTGTCACTTATTTTGTGTTTCATTTGTTAATTATGATTACAATTGAATTAATAAATAATGTATTAATTTAAGCCTATACATTTTTAGAATGAATGGATGAAAAATATTTAATTTTAAAGTAAGTTAATCTGTATGTAGAATTTTTTTTTTCAAAACAAATTGAAAGTACTTAATTGTTTATTGTCTGTATCTAAGTTAATCTCCGATTATGTCAGTCATTAATGTTTAAAATTTCCTCTTATTTTGTAGATATATAATTTTGAATGTTTTACTATCTGCTAAAATTTATGTTTAATTTCTTTATTATTATACCTACATCTGTTTATATTACATATTCCATAGTTTATGTAATTAATATATAATAATAATAATGAAAAAGTATATAATAACAATTATAAGTAGATGTTACATGATGTTTAAGTGGAAACACATGGTGGGACCACTGTAGAGGATTCCCATATTCAATTCAATTCAAATTATTTCAACCCCAACCAAAGTTAAGTGCATGCAGTGCAGAGATAAAAGTTGATTCATTGATAATTTAATTTTGCTTGGAAAATGGAACTTCCCTCAAGAAAGATGAACCCTAAGACCTATCGTTGCTCTTTTCGGTGAGAGAGGCTTTCTGGGTATATTTAATAAAAGTGATTGTATATGAAAATATATCATTTTTTGTATCTTTTTAATGCTACTTTAAACTTTAGAATTTGAGAGGATTTAAATTTTTTTTGCTGACTAGAAGAAAAAAAGATGATGACCTTTGATTTTTGTTTTGAGTGAAGAAGGTGAGAGAAATGGTAGGGTAGGCCATTGCATTGATACGTCAAACGTGTGAAGAAGGGCAGGTTTTGAAGCCTTGTGTTGTGGGCGCCATTGACGAGGTCCTACTTAAAGCTTCACCTATTTACATTACACTCTGATATTAATCATAAATGAAGAATAAAAATTGAAGATTTAGGTTAAATATTTCTTCCTTTTAATTCTTCTTCTCCTATGCAACCCATATCAAATAAATTATCACATTTCTCCTACTTCTTCTCCACCACACTCATCTTCTATTTCTATGGATGCCTACGACAGATGTTAGGAGATCGATGACCTACGTATGACCTGCCACTATGCTAAAGGCATGTGTTTTGTTGGACTTTGTTTGCTGTTTTTTTTTAATATTTTCACAAAGTGTGCGAGAGATGCATTCAACCTCCCTAAATAAACTTGTACTTTCCATGGAAGATAAAATTCTTAACATCAATTTTAAAAAGCATTTAATATGTTCAATTAAATTGTGAAAGGTATTAAAAAATAAGTTTTATGGGTGTAAGGTGAGTCTTGCTGTTGATTTTCTTAGAAGCAAATTGTTGTTTACGCGTTAGAATTGTGACCATCTGGTTTTACCAGGTCATGTTCATGGACTACAGTTGTGCTCCAAGGCAAAGAATTCCACGTACTTATTGATACAAGATGGAGAGATTCAATACCAAAAATTGGGTAAAAAGGAAATCTAATTCGTGAATTTGTTAGTATGATATTTGGTGACCTTGCTTTTTCGGTCACAAAACAAGTCACAAAGTGACGCGCACGCATATGCAAAGCCCATTATGTCACATCCATTACACTTCAGCCCACACGGCCCTTTCCGTAAACCGCATTCCTCCTCACATTACTCAACCAAAACGCTCCCTTTTAAGCGTTTTTTCTCTCATTTTTCTTTTTTCACCAAAATTTAATTTAATTTCAGTTCCGTAGACGTGGTTGATTCTTACAAACTTGCTTTTGGCTGCGCATAAGTTGTAACGTTGGATCTGTGGCTCTGGAGTCCGCGTTTTCGTCGATGGTAACTCACACACACACACATGATGTCACCACTCTTAAACTTGGCAGATAAGGTAGTAGTAAGACTTGTGTTACGATTAAGACTTTCCCCTTCCAAGAACGATTTCCATTAGGGTAGCTAGGCGTGTGTTTTGGGGACCTGAATTTGAGTATTGTCTTTAACAACGTGACCTTCATAAATGGAAGGACACTCCTTTCCTAGAACCTGCATGGTCCATCCTCTTGTGGCACAGTTTTTTAGCTAAACAAAAATCTAGACAGCGTAGTGTCCTTCCGACACCAGTTTCTTCCTTAATAACTGCGAAAACATCGATAGCTTTCAACCACCACCGAAAAGTTAGGGAATTGGGTTTCAATTTTTACTTCTCGTCACTTCATAGTACTACTAGGGGCTTGATGTGAAGACGTGAGATTGATTCCCTTGTAAAAGGGTCATGTCTTTCGGTGGGTTGAGTGTTGCTTTGAGTCTTGTGTTTGGGTGTCTTCTGCTGGCTCTGTGTGCTCAGCTTTACTATTTCTTATGGTGGAAGAAGAGAAGGGCACAGATGGATATTGAGATGGATCATGGGAATTACGCAAAGGGGGTGTTTTATTGGGGGTGTTGGAAGACCCCTTGCAGCATGCATGGTGCCAACGCCGGAGGGGTTGTGAGTAGGGACATAGAGAACACAATTCATGAATCAGAGATGGAGTTGGATTTGCTGCACAAGTCCTTTGGAGAAGAGGGTGTGGAGTCAGAGTTGATGAGGCTGCACAATCTGGCTGGTCCACCAAGGTTTCTCTTCCCCATCAAGGAGGAAACCAAGGAAGATTTGGAGTCCGAAGATGGTAAATCTAGGGGTGATAGGAGCGGGAAGGGGTCAAGAACAAGGAGCCTGAGTGATCTTATGTTGACAATTGACACCCCTTTTCTCACCCCTGTGCCTTCCTCTCCTTTAAAGTGTCCTTTGGCTTTGGACCCTCTTCATTCTTACAAGCATCAAGGATTCAATCCTCTCTTTGAATCATCGGCTGAATTAGACTACAACAGATTTAGATCCTCACCACCTCCGAAATTCAAGTTCATGAGGGACGCAGAAGAGAAATTGCAAAGAAGATTGATGGAAGAGGCTCGGAGAAAGGCTACAGAGAATGTACAGGAATGTGGGGTTAAAGATTCCCTTAATGAAACCACGGGCACTGATTTTAGTGATGGGTCCTTTCTTAGGTTCATTCAGAACAAAGACACAACAGAGCGCAAACAGCTTCAGCAATGTCTACCACAGTTTCCTTCAGGTTCATCTCAGATTCTCCCGTTGGCATCTTCTCCTACAACATTGAGACCACTTGAAAAGACATCCATTGTGCATTAGTTTTAGTTCCATACAACTAGGCTTCTGTTATTTTTTCCTCTCTTTTTTTTTTTTTTTTCATATTATGTTACATTAATTTTTCTAAATGACTCTGCTAATTTTAAATTTTTACAAAGCATTTGTTATTTGATAGCCCTCTTTTTAAATTGGACCTCTTGTGTGGTTTGAAATGATTGCTATGGTCAATATGCTGCAAATTCGCGCGTGGTGTGGCAACAAATAGAATGCAGACTGACATGCGCTTCAAGATGGTTGCTAAGATGCTGGTTATCTTGCAAAGGACTCAGTGGGGCAATGTGCTTTTGTCCATTATTCCCCATGTTTGCCGTGGCTTTAACCGGTTAATCAATGATGCTTGTTTGCTACCAATTTCTTAATTTTGTGGTGTCAATGATTCATTCTTTTCTTTATGGAAATTTCCATAATCATTTCTCCTCTGCTATCATATGCGCCTAGCTGTGTTGTGTCGTTTGTTTTATATGCCAGTTGCTTAACTCTATCCTAATTTTTAAAGGTTAAGGTATAAACATGAGAAAGTTCCAAGGTAGATTTCGCATCTATAGTTGTAAAACAATAATGTTAATTGTCCTGAAAAGTCAAAGCTTAAGGCTAACGCAGGCAGCAAAGTTGTTTACAGATAATGAATGAATTTGAAATCTCTGGCAGAGGTTAAAGTTGAAGTTAAGAATTATTGGATTATTGCATTCTACTTGAATTTCATTAATGATAATACTACTAAGAAAAAATAATGATAATTTTGAAAAGGGTACGTTGGAGGGGAAGTTGTGGAGGAACATTAAATAGATTGTATAGGATTTAATAGGCACCCCACGAGGGTGTCTTAATCAAGCATGAAATGACGAAGTTGGAAACGGTGAGTGTCGCGAATGGGTTATGGTGTCTACCAACTTTTACCTAAACAACAAGTGATGTCGCTGTTGTCACGCGATTCGGCCGAAAGTTCTCAAAGTCTCATACACACAACTCAACACAAACCACCACCATCTCCTCTTTTCAAATTTAAAATGCAAATTTCCCAAACCAACGGCGTCAAAAAAGAAAGATTATCATCTCTTTCAAGTTTTGAATATTGCTAATAATAATATAATAGAGAGAACTTGGTGGATTTCAAATTTGGGAATAAAAAAATGGTTCGTTCTATAATAGCTGGAAAATTGGAAATTCTGGTCAGTTCCATGTGAACTAAGGTACCCCAGTGGTGTGGTCCTGGCTTCCTGGGTATGAGTCAATTTTTTGGGTCCACTCTATTAATTCACTAGAAATTCAATTTAACGATGTGGCTTCAATGAATCATAAATATGAAAACCGCCCAACAAAAAATATAATGGAACTTGTTTGTTTTCAAATATATGTGCTATTCATTTATTTTCATTATCATTTTCCAATTATTCTTCTCTTATCATCACAACTCGCAATGTTGTGGGACGTGGATTAGAGATATAGGATGTGTGATGAAGACCAACATGTGTTATTAAACGGATATTTCTTTATTGCTATCAAGTTAGAATCTTTTCCATTCCTTTCGGGTTTAAATAATGACAAATCAATCACAATGAGGCTAATAATTGATCAGAGACAGTTTTACCCTCCAACTTTGATGAATTTAGTCCCTACTTTTGTTATGCATGAATCAATTTGGTCTCTGGCTTTTTATGCATAAGTGCTTGATTTATACCACAACTTCTTGTAAAATTCAAAACTACAACCTAAAATCTTAACCTTTTCATTTCTATCCAATACAAAACCTCAACTTACAGTTATTACATTGATAAAGTTGAAGTTTTTAAATAAACTCAGTATAAAAAAACAAGATGAATTTGTCTAGTTTGTTTTTTACTTGAACCTACGCGAATGTTGGATAAGGCCCATTAAGGGTTTGTGCAAATGGGGTAGTAGCCTTGCCTAAACAGGCTTCACTCTTTAAAGGCCATAACTTTGATTGTTGATCTATACTCCACGCCATAGAAAGAAAGAGTTTATAAAAACCCAGAAAAACCATATAGCCGCACGCATATCTGGTTTGACGCGCGTTTCAGCGTAGCTTGTGCGTTAATTGAAAAGCATGTCCAAACACGTAGTAATGAAATGGTTGAGGCCCATTAGGCCCAAAGGGAGGCACATGCATGGGAGTGGTACGTAGTACCTGTGTTTGCACTTTGCAGTGGTTGTGGGGAAAACCATGTTTGCTTTTTTCATGTTCTCACACACACTCCAAACACTCTCTCTCTCACACACAAACACACTCGACACCAATGCAAAGTAGGTGGGTCCCACTATAATCTTCTTTTCTGATCGGTATTTCTCATGCACGTGCATGGCTGGCTTTTGTAGTTTGTATATCTCTCTCTGGTGGTGTGTGAGAGAGGACAAGTGAATGCAGGGTTAAGGCTGCAATTTTAATCCCTTTCCAACTAAAACTTGGCAAGATGAAGTGCTAAGCTTTTCACATGAAAATGAGCTCAAAAAAAAGCACCATCCTGTCAAAAAGATAGGGAATTAGATTCCAAAGGCACCACATCCAATTTCATACCTTTCACTGGTAATATCATATCGTAAATGAATTATGAGTCAATCATATATGACTTATGAGATAGTTGTTGTTATCTGCTCCAATAACAAATCATGAATTATTGGTTTAACTGAATAACTAAAAAAAAAAAAAGAGATAGATTTTCTTTCTCTTCGTCTCAGTTCGATGATCTTCTCAATTGAAAGATTTCTATATCGATAATACATATTCCAGTTGACCGAGCCTATTTCGAATTGTAATGCTCAATAACAGTCCCTTAAAATACCTTTAATCCTTTCTCATTCAATTATTTTACACCAAATTTCATGTTTTTCTCACATTTTTTTATCTTTAGAAGATGTGATTAAACTAAGGAGAGAAGAGAGTTTTTTTAGCTATATTAAACTTTTGAGAATACATTTGAAAATATATCTATTTATTCCCTTTCATTGAAGCTGATTTTTTTTATAGTACAATTTCTCTCTTTGGCTGTAAACATATACAAAATAGTTGGAGAGAGGTTGGTTTGGTTTCCGTTTTGAAAAGAAAAAGGGTACGATAATGACGTCAAATAATGAATATTCAACGATATGTGTTGGAAAGATTTTTCTTATATATAGAGAGAATGGAAAAAATTATAAGTTTGGTTGGTGAGAGGAAGAATGTTTTTGAAGTGTGTTAAATTTCCTAACAATGACGTGAATAATTGATCAAGAAAGGTGGGATCATAAAATTTGGTCTTCTATGCACTGAACAATGCTTTTGGCCTTTTGAAATTATATGTATATGAATAGGAAGAAATAGAAGAATATATGATGTGTTATATATATATATAAAATAAATATTTATAAAAATATCAATTTTTTTTATGAAACGTTTTCTTAATAATTTTAAAAAAATCAATTTTTTTTATTCTCTCCTCGTTTGAATAACAATAAACAATTTGAAACAACTTTCGTGGAATTTTAAACTACTCCAAATTCCGTAGAGTAAGGTAATGGGTCCCGCGTCTCCACGTGGCAGTATGATTCCCGACCAAGAGCATCTGATGACAAAATGATTGATGATTTGGTGCATGGATGATGCATCATGTTATATTCTTTATTTATTTTTATTTTGTTTTATTTTATTTTATTTTATTTTATTTTATGTGACCATGAATATATTACATGACAAATGCCAAACTTTGATCCCACCAACCACACTTCCATGCACAAACTTTGCCCATTCCCACACTACTGTTTCACACGTAATCATTTCTTTTCTAGATAAAATAAAATTACGAAAAAGGGCCTTTGAAGTTGAAAGAAATAAAATAATATTAAGAAATTGAGATAACAATGTTTAGACCAAATTTTCAAAAATTCATATGTTTTTGCACTATACATGCCCAAAACAGTTATTCTTTAACATTTTCATCAAATTTTACAGAATATATCAATTTTCACATAATATATCAAAGCTTATGAATTTTTAACCGTCACTAAGAGACAATCTTTTTAACGATAATTATACATGCAAATTTATAAATTTTAAGAGTTATTAATACAAAATAAATAAAAGATGACATTTTGTAACAATTATTACATGTGAATAATTGTTGAAAAATATATGATAACGGCTATAGAAAGAATTATCGCATACGATGATTATTTATAAAATTATCATCATATATCTTCTTAAATTTTTAAATTTCACCAATTTTTTCAGTTCATCTTTGTGTTTTTATTTCTTTTTTTATTTCTTCACTCTTTTTTCTCTTTCCCATCTTTATTGTAACTTTTCTTTTGTTCATTGTGATTAAACTTTTTTCTTTTTTTCTTAAAGTGTTCACCATATATATGCCACAAATATTTCCATTACATGTCTCCAACATACTTATTGGATGCGTTAAAACTCAATTAGAAAAACAATAATGAAAAAGTAAAAAAAAAGCTTATAAATTTATTATAGCAAAATAATAAAAGAGTAATGAAAGCTTCCATTAAGGAGTAGCAATAATGAGAGAGTAAAGTTATCATGTAAAATCTATAATAGATTTGTTATATTACTTATTTATTTGTGTTTGTTGTAATACTTCTAAGTTCAGTTGAAAATTATTATTAATTTATTTATTTTTAAGAATAACAGGAATAAGATAATTCAAAAACCGTTGTTATAACCTTTTTTTAAACATAGTAAAATGGTTGTTTTTAGTAACGAGTGATTTTGTTTTTAGAAAAAAAAACCATTAAATAAATAAATAATTTTACTTCAAATATCATGCTATTTTTCACATAAAGACACCATTTCCCTTTATTTTTCTTAAAAAAAGTCAAGTCTTCACCTTTTGTTGAATTTATTGATAATATGTATGTAATCGAAATCATGAAAGAAATATTCTTTATTATGTTAGAAAAAATTGTTTCATGCCATTAAAAATAATCTATTGAAATGAATTTACTATTGTTACAATATAGTGCATGTTAAATAAATAAATTTTAAACAATCAAATATAACCATGTTTTGTAATAATAATTTAACTATTAAATTATTTAAGAACTCAATATTATATATAAAAAAACAAACATATAAATGTAAACTATTATTTTTTAAAAGAACACAACATGATATTATTGATCTGCAACAACAAAAATAAGAACAAATAACCAACTCCGTGTATTTTTTTTTCATAATTTTAAAAATTTGATGAGGTTTACCCTTTGAACTAAGCTGAAATGTAATATTTTTTTAGTTTAAAGATATATTATTATTTTTTTGTATGGTTATGTAATAATATATTTATTTAACAAATTATAATATGTTGTTTGCTAACACCTTGTACTATATCTATTTGCGCACAGTTCATTGTGTATTGGGGATTTTCTGTATTTAAATATTTATAATTAGATGTTCTTCGATCTGTTTGTCTGAAAACATTTTTTTTAAGTATAAATTAATAGAAGGAAAAAACAAAAAACAAAACGTGAGTTAAGATATTTTTTAAGGATAGAGGTTGGCTATAACGAAATAACTGAATTGACCGTTCAGTATTTAACTGTACAAAAAAAAAAAAAAACTGTAATGGATAGGTGAGTTAATCGATTAGTAATTATTAGATTCAAAACATTTCTCTTTAGGGATTAATTAAGCAATATATTGTAATTGAATAACGTTGTTTATGGTTCAAGTTTTGTACGACAATCTTCGAATAAGTCCTCGTTTGGTCGTCCCAGCATGTCATTAACACTCTACAGGAATAGGTATCATCATACCCTAATTTCTATCAGAAAAGGAAAAAAAGGGCTCTTTTTTTTTTTTTTTCCTGGAGCAGGAAAAGAAATGAAATATTATAAATCAGCTTTTAGTCTTTATGCAAATAAATTGTCATAAAATGGAGAAAAAGTTGTGAACATGTGCGCATTCACAAAATATACATTTCTTTTACTTTTAAGAAGTAGACAAAATGTTGTTGTGACTTGAAACTTGAGTGCCCTTAACACATCAAATTGGTGACGTCCAATTAATAAATATGGCTGTGTTTTTCTTTGAGGAATATCTGATTTGTTTAGTTTGTCTTTTATCAGTAGTAGTTCATAACTTATTCAGTGATGTCACTAGTGCTGGTGCTGTGCCCAAAAAGGATCTAACCACAACTTTAAGCCACTACTTTACTGGCCCTAAGTATGAAAAAAGTAAAGCATTTACAGGCTAGCTAGTGCCAATTATTTTATGTATTAGGGTTTTGCTTTGCATAGTTTTCACTCTTTTTCATCTGCATTTTCTTTCAGAATTTTCCACTTTACTAGTTTTCTTTAAAAACTGTTCCTTCGACAGCAATGGCAAAGAATTTGATTTGGTAAGCTTAAACATGAATGCTATTGAATAAAATGAGAAATAATATTATACGCGTGGTGTTTCCATGCATGGGAGCCACCAACACGTTTCTACGAACAAAAATTGAGAGGAAGAACGCGTGAAAAAGAAGCTTACAGGCTAAGATACTTCGTCCACTTAAAACCCTAAATTATAATAAAACAAAAAGAGATGAGAATGAGAGAATAAGCGCAAAGCAAAGAAAGTAAAGCCTCTTCCTGCTTGTGCTTTCCTCTCCTCCACCCTCTTCTTTTTCCCTTACTTTCTTGCCTCTGCTATTCCCTCTACCTAGTGCGATTCTACCTCCACCTTCTCCCTAAAGACCCATCAAACTTTATAAAAAAGAGAAGAAAAGAAAAAAAAAACAGTCACAAAAGGATTGAAGCACCATGGTTTTCTCTTCTATTCCAGTCTATTTAGATCCTCCCAATTGGCAGCAAGTAAGGTTTCAATTCCCTCAAATCTCAGCCACACTTCTAAACCCTAAAAGATAACTCGTTAATATTCCTATTCCTTCTTGGCAATCTAATCTTCCTGAATATACCAGATTTGTTTTCATTACGACACTCAAATATTTCCTTCTTTTTGTTCTGCAGCAACAAAATCAACATATAGCAAATGGTAGTAACAGTCCTCAGCTGCTTCCTCCGCTGCTGCAACAGCCACAGGACCCTCACGTGGGAGTTCATGATGCTGCGGGCCCAATCCGGCCCGGTTTGATGGCGGACCGGGCCAAGATTCCGGCCCAGGAAGGAGCTCTGAAGTGTCCTCGGTGTGAATCAACCAACACAAAGTTTTGCTACTTCAACAATTACAGCCTCTCTCAACCGCGGCACTTTTGCAAGACTTGTAGGCGTTATTGGACAAGAGGTGGTGCTCTCAGGAACGTTCCTGTTGGTGGAGGATGCCGTAGGAACAAGAAGAACAAAAGGAGTCGTTCCAAATCTCCGGTTTCTTCTGAGAAACCATCACTTCCCAATTCCACAAGTGCCATGCCTGAACTTATTGGTCGGTTCCCACAACCTTTCATGGCCTCTCTTCAGAGTATGAACCGCTATGGTGTAGGGAACACAGGTGTTAACTTGCGTGAGATGCAAGCACAGAACGGTTCTCATATGGGGTTTCAAATGGGTGGTCAGGGTCATGGTTCAAGTGTTACTCCTACAGGAGGATTAGTGGAGCAGTGGCGGTTTCAGCAGTTTCCTTTCTTGAACGGTTTTGAGTCAGCTTCTGGTGTTTCTTCCTACCCTTTTCAAACTGAAAGTGTTGAAGGTTTAGTTGGAGAAATTGCCGCACCTTCTAGGGTTACTCAGCTGCCACCACGGGTTAAATTGGAATATAACGGTGGTTTGAATTTGTCAAGATCTCCTTTGAGTGTCTCCGAAAATAGTAACCATTACTATTCATGGACGGATTTATCTGGTCTTGCATCCTCTTCCGCCAGTCATCTCTTGTAACTTTGATGGGTTAGAGAAAAGAGAATTTCTATGGTAGCCGCAGAAATTTAAGGGTTTTGGTACTGTTATTTTTTCAATCAATTGTTGAATGAGTTTCCATTTAATGAAGTCCCCCTCTCTGTTGACATGTTTCAACTCATTTAATCATTGATCCAAAAAATAACTGTACCAATAAACTCTTATATTTCCGTATCCTTTCTAGGGTGGCAGCACTCAATGTTCCACCGTCTTCACGGGTCAGCGTTAACAGAAATCAGGGTGTTAGAATTTAGTCTTCAATTGTATATTTTCTTGTCATTGGTTTTATTTATGTCTTTTTGCATCGAGTCGAGTTTCTTTTGTGTTCAATTGAGCTTTCTTTGTAAAACAGTGTGTGCATGTATTGTGTTATGTTTGTTTACTATGCGATATCATTTGGTTCAATTTTTCTTTCCCTCGATTGTTACTCTCTTATATGCTTCATTATGCTTGGTAGCTCACACTAGTGTTCCAGTTTTCGCACACGTATGGCGATAAGCTAGTAGCACGATAAAGCAAAGGTATCAAGACAGAAGAAAAGTGATACTGCTATACACAGTATTAAAGAACGTGCCACTGATCCACACTAACATTTATCGAGGCAGTGTTTCTCGGGATAACTTTATTAGGAATTTCAAGCTTGAGAACTTTTCTCGTATCTTGCAGCCTCTCTGTACAAGTTTACATTATCTTAATTTGAGAAGCAGTCATAATGCAAAGTCATAAATATGGTTTTGCATGCAAAGGTTGATTGTGTCATGCATCTTGATTCTTGGAGCGGATAAATAGATAACGTGAACAATACAAAAGATATATCAAGTTGGATAGTTCAGACAACTAGATTAAATATTATGGTAAGTCACTCTTTCCTTTTTCTCTTACTTATCTTCTCTTATCTTTTTCTCTTCTGTGCATCTTGCTGGTACTTCAGCTGCTATTAGGTTATGCACGCACTCAATCTTTATTCTGAGAAAAATTTCTCAGAAATTTGATTGAGTCGACAGTCATTTAATGTCCATAGCTCTTTTACTTCTCCTCAAAATTGTGGCAAAATCAGAATTCCGAGGAAGCTCTCCAATCATTGTACTTTCATCAGCAGTTCGTATTGAGAAGTTTCTTTATCATGTTTCAAATTTTCAGTTAAGAGTATCCACTTACACAAGCTCCAAGTAAAAAATGAGTAGGGTGAATGGGAGAGGAAAAAGGAAAAGCGACCGATAGTGAGAGAACGTAAAGAAAATATATATTCGACATCAGTCAACAGGCAAGACTTTGCGATGTTGTAATTATCAAATTAGATTCATAAGCTGGGACGTACACATTTGTTTGTTTTTGAGTTGAAATTTTAAGAGTAAGATGGAACCAATCTTAGAAGACGCCAAAATCCCACTCAAAACCATGCAATTCGACCGAACTTTAGTGGGTGAGTATTCTAGAACTTGTTCGGCAGAATGATGCAAGAAACAAACACAAATAATGGATATATGATTCTATGTCATATTGTATAATGCACTTGAAAACAAAAGGAAAAGGAAAAGACCGTGGTGAAGATAAATGTGAACTTTTTTTCTACGTATTATGATGGTAAATTCTCACCATCCGCATTAGAGTTATCCCTGCGCTTCAAAGTTAACTCAAAGCATGTGTTCAAACACTAATAATTACTACCTTTATTATTACAATACCACTGAGAATAAATGAAATTATCTTTTAAAAAAGAAAAAGCAGATGATAACTTTTGTAAGGACCAATGCTGCCTTTCAACAACGAATAAAGCAACACGACCAGCAGTGACCGATTCAGACAAAAGCTCTCTCCGTGTCTCTGTGTCGTCAGCTAGTCATGGGACGTAGCCAGCAGAAAAAAATGGTTAACCTAATTCCAAAAATGTCGGTTTGAGTGGGTCTAAAACAATGTCTTGAACCATCCATTTTATAAGTTTTACTTTCATATATCTATCTCTCATTAACAGGTGTGTCATAAGGATTTGATGCTTTCTTTCTTTCTGTGAAAATAGAAAAAAGTATTTAAGTAGACAAATAACTATTATATATATATATATATATATATATATATATATATATATATATATATATATATATATCTTAACACTTTCGAGAATGGCACAAACTAACCTATTATATTAAAATTCAACTTTTTTTTAGTAAAATGAGTAGGATAATGATGGAACTTTAAACCACACGGCCATGAATAGTTTTTTTGTAACTCTGCAATATGAAAGTTAGAGAGAGTTGGAGGAAAAGACGTAAAGAGAAGTGTGGGCTAAATTTGCAGGGTTGCTGCTACGGTACCAATGAATCAAGGGGGCTCAAAAATTCATGCATGTTTCATGGTTTAGAAAGAAATGCCACAAGTCTTTGAAGGGTGAACCAGAAAAAAAGAAGAAGCAATAACATTGTTTTAAGCATAACTGGCCAAACCTGCACCATTGATGGTATGGATCTAAGTGTGATCTATATGGGTTTCAAGACACAAAAGACCCTTAGATTTACTTTGTTTCCTTTCCATTGCTTCATTTACCCCTATCATATATATCTTTTAATTCTTTTTCACCTTCCTCCTGCTTCACTTGTAGCCTTTTTCTTTTGACAGTCGCGTGGGACCTCACCTATATATATTCATGGCATGGCAGATACCGTTACCAACTTAACTTAGAGTCGCCAATAATGTGCAATGGTGCAAATGTATTTTTCAAAAAGCAATTTTGTTATCTGTTCTAATAGTGATCCCTTACCCCAAGGAATAACTGGACAAGTAAGAGAGAAGATAACTCATTAAAAGGGAAGCAATGGGAAAAAGTTACTGGCAGTTGCTATTGTACATGGCACGCACGTCATGTTTTTTAATGGGAAAAGTTTACCTTCGCACATTTTGAAGCAGACAGACATTACACAATAACATTGTTAGATGAAGATGGAAAGGAAGAAAAGAGAGACAGAGAGGCAAAAGAAAAGCAAAGGTTACCATGCGTACGGTTCTGAGGTCAGTTCAAGTGTTGTACAATTTTCTGTACCATATATTGTCACTGTTTTATCATCTCTATTTATATGAATTTAATATTTGTGTGTGTAAGGAAGTAATGAACAAGTGTAGTGGTACTTGTAAAAAGAGTTGCAGTATAAAATAGTTTTGATAGCATGTGCAGACCAAAGAGAAGAATTCTTTCGTTACAGAGATTAATTAAAGATTATAGAATTTAAAGAGAAGCATTATAATATGAGAATGCATGATTACAACATTTTTCATGTCAGATTTTTCAAGTAGTTTTTGGATTGCATTTATGCATATCTCAGAGACAGATTAATAGCTTGACGATGGACATGGACTTAGCTGCTTCTGATCTTCCACCTTGCCTCATAAAAAAAATTCTATTATATTATAAAAAAGTTACTATTGAAAGTATTATTTTCTCACAGTAAATAATAAAGAATACATGAATAAAAAATAAAGATACACTCATATAATATATATTTTATATATAAAAATACACATAAAAATTATAAAAAATTTTAATTTAATAAATTAAGGACATGGATGATGTGCTTTAAGAAAAATATTTATATATTAAATTGTTCGCGAGTCTAAAAGTGTTTGGGGTTAAGAAACCCTAAATCCTAAATCTAAGGAAGAAAGGAGATAGGTGAAATGAGTGGGTTGACCCGTTTACCACCCCCAGCGGAGAGAGTATGTTATCTGTTTCCTTGTTTGGGCTACTTTATGTGTGAAAATAAAGTTTTGATTAATGGGCCCAATAATCCTCAAATTGACCCAGATGACATTTAAAATCCTAAACCCAAATGTGCCCTGCATATTGGGCTCATACAGATTACAGATAACTTACACAGGCCCAAAAATTGAAATATTAGAAAAAGTCCACACCGTCACAAAAGTATAATCAGACTTTTGTCAGAGAACAAAAACATCTAAGGGTAATTGTTAATTCTGTAAAAATAAGTGCAAGTACTAAATAAATAAAATGATATGATAAAAACCACATATACGAAAAAAAAATTAACAATCACTATAATAATTTTGACGAAATAAAATTTAATTTTGTAACAATTTTCTTCTGAGGATTCTTATCCCTACTCCACTGGTACAGCAATGACTCATGACAGTGACAAATGTTTGTAGATATTTATGTTAATGGATTGTGAAACATAGACAAAAGAGTAACACTTACTTTGGATTAGAAGATTAAAAACATAGATTTCGAGAGAATGGTAAGTGGAAATAAGGTTATTTGGATTATGGGAAAAATAAAATAAAATATACGAGAATTAGATAAAATTTTGTGAAAATTTGTAAATAATTTGATTGACATGAATTATAAAAGAAATTTTTATTTAATGTGATTAATAATATTGTATATTAAAAATAATACAGGATGAGTTAATTGATTATAGTTAATACGGATTATAAATTTTAATTTATTCCGTTAAAGGTAGACTGGAGGTTAATCCGTTAACAATTTTTTTTATATATTTTTAATTATATAAATAATTTTTAAGTTTTTACTTATTAATTAATATTTTTATTAGATAAGTTAAAAAAAATATTATATTTATATGTTAAAATAATTAATTATAATCAATAATTTACACTTAATTAATTATTTTTTATAATTTAAATTATAATATTATAATATTTTTATATATTTTAATAATATAAAAAATATAATATTTTAATTATAATATCTTCACTGGAGCTAAAAAATTATCGCTCAGCTGAAACCTCCTTCGCTTGAGCGAGGAGAGATGAAACTAATGGGTAATCTCGGTGTTTTTTCGCTTAAACGATTGGTAATTTCGCTCAAGCGAGCACTGGTTGAAATATGTGGTGACCCAAGTTGCATTATGTGGCTAACTGCGTTGGACCTTTAGCCTATAGTCAATTCTCGCTTAAGCGACAGGTAATTTCGCTCGAGCAAGGAGTAATTGGCTAACTTAAACGCATGTGGG